TAAAAATCAATGCTCACTAGACATTGGGTGACATCAGTCAGCATTGATCATTGTTCCATTGCAGCTCAGCTTCAATTGCAGCCCAACTACAATGGACCGTTTGTGTGCTACAGGGGGGGGGGTAAAACTGGGTAGCATGCTGAACTTATGCTGATGTCACCCAACATCATGTGATCATTGTTTTTTCCTGGTGCATGGAAGACTTGGAGTAGACATCAAAATCACAAATCTCCTTGTACAATTTTCCAACAACCCTATTACTTGTGCTGCAGGCCCTCCCACTAAAAACATGATGTGCTTGACCAGCATGTATAGCAGTTCAACTTCCATCAATAGTGGGGTTTTCTCTTTTGAAGTTTTGTGGGTTGATTTCATGAAATTGAAAATCAATACTTGCATCCATTTCTGTCTTGATTACTCATTTTTTGCAAAATGGCCATTCGGCAAGAAGTTACACTATTCTGGCAAAGTGGCTTGTGTTCTAAGCACCAAAACCATCTACAAACGGGCCAAAAAAATGGAAATATGTCCAGCATGTAGCTGAAGACATGATCAAGATCCACAATGTACCATGTGTAGGTACCATTAATTTTGATAAAAACCTGCTAAACAGTACCTTTTGGTCCTATTCTGGCACATCATCCGGGATCCCCAATAACACCACTCAAATATGGCACAATTGAAATTGTAGTATATGTAAAATAAAGCTCATTGCATTAATCTGCCATCTAATCTGTCTTCACAGAGTGTCATAAAGCAGTCCAAGCATCCCTTTTCCACTGAACAGCAACCAAAAAGTCAAATTTGGGCCCAGTTTTGCTGGTTTATAAGAATCCAAACTCCAACTTTCTTTCAACTTAAAACATGAAGATCTGGAATATGAATAATGTTGCATAAAAAGTTTATCATTCTGATTTCACAGGTCAAATCTGTAGATCTTTATAAGTGCTATTGATGGGAGGGCTTTTTCCTACATAGGAAAACCCCACTAATTTCTTGATTTTCTTGATAATTCTTTTGACTATATTATAACTATAAAAATAAGACCAGACTAAAAAAAAACATGTTAGGAAACATGTTAGGAAGAGAAAGATAAATCACAAGGAATACGGAGGAAATAAAAGGAAAACAATTAGAGATGTACCCGAGAAGATAGATTTGAATCTATAAAGAAAGGAGTAGACAGCATGTATGACGATGGGAGACAACAAAGATGTACAATCATCCATCCACGCTTCGGCCCTCTTAGTCTAATCCAATTTCGATTCTCAATATCACTTGATCAGATGACCCTATACATCCAAAGCCACACAAACCCCAACCCTCTTTCTTTGATAATAATAAACAACAACAAGAAGACTGATTACAACCGAGATGAAGAGAATAACACACACACACAGACGACCCCACAATCCTAATTCACTGTTGCTGTTGCTCCATCGTCGACCGACAAGCAAGAAGGTTCATCCCCTTGATCGACAGGCCGAGTAGCAGACATCGCAGGAGCAGGAACAGGATCTTCTGGTGGTTGTTGGTCTTGAAGAAGAGGAGCAGCAGTAGTAGGGGTGACTGAGGTGGGAGCTTCTTTGTCGCTGCGGTCGAAGGCTTGGGTTGTACTTGGGTCTCCATCATCATTGACTTCTGTCCTGTCCTCTTCGAGCGCGCCATCCTTCATTCCGCCCTCGTCCATCTCCCCCACTTCGACTGCTGCCGCCTCACCTCCTCCTGCCTCGCCTGCTCCCAGTTCGCCTCCCACATCGACTCTTTCTTCCTCGGCTCCTCCCGCCTCGCCTTCTGCCACTTCGACTCGTCCCTCCTCCACACCTTTGACCGCGCCTCCTGCCCTCTCGCCCGCACCTTCCACGACCGCGACGGCCTGTTTACCGACTGACTGATCAGCCTCGACTCGTCCGCCTTCGATATCCCATTCGACGATCCTGCGTCTGAGCTCAAAATTCTCGTGTCGATACTCGTCCACTAACTTGGCAAGATTCTCGAGCTTCTTTCGGCTCCTCAATCGACAACTATTCCTATCATGAGGTGTGCCCATCATCCTGTCGTCGTCGTCGTCGTCTGTGTGTGGTGGTTTTGAGTCAGGGTCTAGGAGCGTTCGTCCAGCACTGCGTTTCTTGAAACACTCGTTCTCGAGTTCCAGTCGATTGATGCGTTCCTGTTGACTCCTACAACCAACCCAACATCGATTTTTTTTTCCAAACAAACAAAAATAAGCGAAAGAGTTTCTTTTTTTTTTTGGCAAGAAGAGAAGTGAGGTAAGGAAGAGGGGGGGAGAAAATAACACGGACAACAACTGCGCGCGGAGCTGTTGATTTTCGAGTTCGTTGCAGGAGGCCTGGGAGAGCCATTTGCGGGCCTGAGCACGCAGAGAATCGATCCTCGACCGGGCCTCCCTGAACCGTCTCAAATCGTCGTCCCTGTCATCCCACATGTGAACCCCCCTCGCCCCATCAGATTTTCCATCTGCAGATGATGATCTTTCTTTGTGTAAGAAGGACGGACCAGACTAGTAACGCATTCGAGAGACTCGTCGTCTGCGTCTGCAGACTCTCCATCGTCCGTAGCTCGGGCTCGAGTAATGTCAATTGGTTCTTAAGCTCATGTGCCCTTTTTTTGGCACCAACCCCAACCACACGCAACGCAAACAAGTGTAAAAACAGATAAGCCCTCTCCCCTGCTTGACTCAAACACCATTCCTAAAAGAAACATACTCAGATTGGACAAACAACAGATTCTTATTCTGCAACTCGATGGCCTTCTCCAACTCGTTGATCTGATTCAACAGACTGAACTTAGCGCTAAGGAAGGCGAGATTATCGTTCTTCAACGCCAGGTTTTTCTTCTTGATGAGCTCCTGATAGGCCACCTTGTTCCTGCTGGTGATCAGATTCGAGCTCTGTTTCTCCTGCTCGCTCTCGTGCTTCTGTCGCAACTTCTTCCGCAACTCTTTGTTCATCCTTAACTATATCCAAAAAAAAAAATCTCAATGAGTTTCTTCTATCAAGAAAAAGAGAGAGAGAGAGAGAGAGAGAGGAAGGAAAGAGGGTTCGGTAGAAAAAGAGGAAAGAAAAAAGAAGATTAACCAAGTTTTGGTTTTCAGCTTCAAGACCAGCACCGAGGATGTTCTGTTTGTGGACCGAGCCGAGCTGCTGCAGATGCTGGGACTTGAGATAGAGTTCCAAATGGAGCTGAGATCTGAGCATCTGATTATCGGTCCGCAGCTGCTCGATCTGTTTCTGCAGACCGGGCTGGACTACGGAAGCTTGGGGGACTTCGGGAGGGTCGGAGAGTGGGGCTGGAATGGATGGCGGAGTGGATGGGCGTTCGAGCTGCTGTTCTTCTGGCTTGACAGTCGTCGACGAGCCCGCTGGGTCGGTCGATTTCGAGCCACGCACACACCAGCCCAACAGCTCGCCCACCTGCGTCACCTCATCCCGCGCTCCCAGCTCTCCTACTTCCGATGATGCAGCGACGATGAGGGTGCGTTCGCACTTCTCGATCAGCTCGGCGGGCTCATACATCTTGAGTCGATGGGCGATCTCCTTGCGTTCGCTCGACGGGGCCATGAGGACCAAGTTCTTGTTGAGTCGGTGTCTGTCCATCAACGGCTTACCTCATCATCATCATCATCATCATCATCATCATTACACAAACAACACGTCAGCTTTGAATGGAGCAAAAAAAGGAGGGGAGTACGAGGGAGGGACGCACAAGGACTAAGCTCCGCAGCCGGTCCACGGGCGCCAAGGCTTCGAGCTCGGCACGACTCGACTCTTGCTGCAGAGCTTTGAATCGGTCATCGAGCTCGACCGGGCTAGGTTCACCATTATTATTAAGAGGGGGCGAGAAGGCGAGGAAGAGGTCGACGGGGTTCCGAAGGAAATCCAAGAAGTTACAGGGCGCGATGCCGTAGAGGAAGGAGAAGAGATTGAGGAGGGCGTTGTCGAGGGAGAGAAGGAAGTCGAGATGGATTGGGGGAAGGGGGGCGAGATTGAGGGTGTTGTTGTCGGGAGGGGCGTGTGCGGAGCAGAGGGAGCTGGCGAAGCCGAGGAAGAGGAAGGGCAAGTAGAGGGCGATCAGGCTGGAGACCCGGGGCAGGATGAGCAGGAGGGCGTCGATGGACAGCTTGAGCGAGCGTCGAGGAGGCCGGCCGGGGGTGGTCGATCCGGGCGGTTGAGGAGCAGCGATGAGCCGCAGGACCAGGTTGTTCAGCAGCCCGGTGGCCCGGATCGTGTGGATCGAGTATGGCTGGTGGCTCAGGAAGTCCAGCAGGAGTCCGAGTGCACCAAACTCCTCTTCTCCCTCTGCTTGACCAGCGTCCTCATCCGTTGTTGCTGTTGATCGGGCGAAGAGGAGGCGGTCGAGGATCGTGAAGAGTTCTTTGGGCTCTCGTTTGCCCCAGTTGATGAGGACCCTTCTGGCCAAGTTATCCGCCCTTCTTTCTTCTTCTTCTTCTTCTTCTTCTTGTTCTTGTGAGTGATGGTGGTGGCTTTCATATAGTCTGATGAGCTCTCTGACCAGACTACTCTGGTGTTCTTGCTGTTTGGTTGTGATGAGTTCTTGAGTGATGAGTTCTACGATTTCTTCTTCTGCCGGTCTGTCTAGTCTCAGTTGTGCTAGTTTTCCTTGCTTGAGTAGGATCTCGTTCCATGTCTTGTGGTTCTCTTCCTGTTCGATCAGTCCTGGTTGTTTGTTCCTGAGTATTGTGAGTATCTTTGAGTTGTTGTTGTTGTTAGTTTGTTGTTGTTGTTGTTGTTCGTTGTTGTTGTTGTTGATGTTGATGGTGGTAGTTGGTTGTTGTTGTTGTTCCATTGTTTTTCTTTTTTTTTTTTTTTTTTTTTTTTGGTTTTGATTCCAAGTTGGCTTACTCCAATATTTTTTTTTTTTTTTTTCTCCAGCACCACCCAACTAATACCCAGTGCCCACCACGGCCCACTCGAGCCTCTCTCTCCGCAACCATGCATCTCTACAACCTCACCATCCTACCACCCTCAGCGATCACCTGTGCGACTGTCGGCTCATTCAGCGGGACGCGCCAGCAAGACATCTGCGTCAGTCGAGGGGGCAGTCGGCTAGAGCTACTCAGGCCGGATCCGACGACCGGCAAGCTGAGCTCGGTGGTCAGCACTGAAGTCTTCGGCACCATCCGCGCACTCAGCTCGTTCAGACTCACCGGCGGGACCAAGGACTACATCATCCTCGCCTCCGACTCCGGCAGGATCGTCGTCCTCGAATTCGACCCCTCCTCAAACACCTTCATCAAACTACATCAGGAGACCTATGGCAAATCCGGCGCTAGGAGAGTCGTCCCCGGCCAATATCTGGCCACCGATCCAAAGGGAAGAGCCGTCATGATCGCCGCTATCGAGAAGAGCAAGCTGGTCTACATCCTCAACCGAGGTCAATCATCTTCTTTCTTCCCCATCACCCTGTCCATTTTTGTTGACTGATCGATCGATCGATCGATTCTTCTTCAGACTCGGCTGCCAATCTCACCATCTCCTCTCCCCTCGAAGCCCACAAATCTAACGCGATCATCCACCATATCGTCGGTGTCGACGTCGGCTTCGAGAACCCCCTCTTTGCGGCCCTGGAGGTGGACTATGGGGAGGCCGATCAAGACCCCACGGGAGAGGCTTTCAATCTCGCCGAGAAGGTATGCTCAAAGAAACCTCAGTTTTGTTTAACTAAATACCCTTCCCTTTACAAAAAAAAACACTGAGATTGTGTATGTATCTTGTCAACAGATGTTAACCTATTACGAGCTAGATCTAGGCCTAAACCATGTAGTCAGGAAATGGTCCGAGCCGACAGAGCCGCGGGCCAACATGTTACTCCAAGTCCCCGGGGGCCAGAGCACCAGTCATCCCGACAAGTTCGACGGGCCCTCCGGGGTCATCGTGTGTTGCGAAGACCTGCTCATCTACAAGCACCAGAACGCCAAGGAACATCGGGTGCCAATACCCAAACGGGACTCCCCCTTCAGCGACCCGGCCCAGGGCGTCATCATCGTTGCTGCTGTCATGCACAAGATGAGGGTCCGTCTTTTCTTTCTCTTTCATCTTTGTTTTTCTGGAAAAGTAGATTGATTGAGTTTCTTTCAGGGGGCGTTCTTTTTCCTCATCCAATCCGAGGAAGGCGATCTATTCAAAGTGACGATCGACCACGAGGACGAAGAAGTGCAGGCCCTGAAGATCAAGTACTTCGACACCGTGCCCGTGGCATCGAACCTGAGCATCCTCAAGTCGGGCTTCTTATTTGTGGCCGCCGAGACCGGAAACCAGTCAGTGAACATATTCCTTCGATCCCATTCGACCATCTGACTTTGTCTACTTGATATACGTGTATAGTGCATTGTATCAATTTGAGAAGTTGGGAGATGATGATGAAGAGACCGAGTTCTCGTCGGCGGATTATCCCGAGTTTGGGGCCAGTGGGGCGGCGCTACCGGGGGCGTTTTTCAAGCCACGGGGGCTGGAGAACCTCGTCCTTTCGGACGAGTTGGAGTCGCTAGCGCCGATCACGGGAGCGAAGACGGGACATCTTCTGAACAGCGACTCGGCGCAGACGGTGGCGAGTTGCGGGACGGGCTCGCGGAGCTCGTTGCGGATGTTACGGCACGGCCTGGAGGTCTCTGAGATCGTCACCTCGGAGCTGCCGGGGCCGCCGACGAATGTCTGGACGACAAGGCTGGCGGAGACGGACGAGTTCGATCGCTACATCATCCTCGGCTTCTTGAACGCCACCCTGGTCCTGGCCATTGGTGAGACGATCGTCGAGGTGGCGGATACCGGCCTCCTCACTAACTCGCCCACGATCGCCATCCAACAGCTCGACAGCAACGGGCTCCTCCAGATCCATCCCACCGGAATCCGGCACATCCATCTCGACGGCGCAATCACCGAGTGGAAAGTCCCGCCCGGCCGCAAGATCGTCGTCTCCACCTCCAACCGACGCCAAGTGGTGATCGGCTTAAGTGGGGGAGAGCTGATCTACTTCGAGCTCGACTTGGATGGTCAACTCAACGAGTACCAAGAACAGAAAGAGATGGGCGCAACAATCACCAGTCTGTCGTTATCTGAAGTCTCCAAGGGCAGACAACGCACTCCCTTCTTGGCCATAGGACTCGAAAATCTCACCGTACAAATCATCTCCCTCGACCCTAACTCGGTCCTCGAAACTATCTCCCTCCAGGCCCTCACCGCCGTCCCCACTTCTATCTGTATCGCCGAACTCCTGGACTCCTCCATCGATAAAAATAGCGAAACCCTTTTCGTTAATATCGGCCTTGCTAACGGCGTCCTTCTTCGCACCGTTCTGGACTCCGTCAACGGGCAACTAACCGATACAAGAACCCGGTAAATGCTCATTTGACCTTGTTTTCTTAAGGAAAATCGGAATGTTTCTCATTCTTGTTTTTGTGGGTGTTTAAACAATTGTGTAGGTTTTTAGGGTCCAGACCGGTGAAGCTTCTGCGAGTGAAGGTGGACAACAAGACCAGTGTCATTGGGCTTTCGTCGCGGACCTGGCTGAACTACACGTTCCAGAACCTGCTCCACTTCGATCCACTGATCTACGATGCGATCGACAACGTGCACAGCTTCAGTGCCGAGCTGTGTCCCGAAGGCTTGATTGGGATCGTCGGCAGCTCTCTCCGGTCAGTCTCTCTCTCTCTCTCTCTTTCTCCCCACGTAAACTTATATATGCACTTACTTGAAGACTGATTGTTTTTTGGGTTGGATCGGATCGGGATTGAGAAAGGATTTTCACGATCCCAAAGTTGGGCGTCAAAGTCAAGCAAGACGCCATGCCGCTCGCTTATACCCCAAGGAAGATGTTGCTTGACCCGTCGAGCAAGCATGTGATCACGATCGAGTCGGAGCATCGTACGATGGCTCCCGGCGTCAAAGCCGAACGGCTCGCGCTTCATGTACCATTCCCTTCCCCATTCTCCATCCTTTTTCTTTCTTTGAGGGGAGAGAGGTTGATGAGTGCTTTTTTTTGTGGTCTTTTGTAGAAAGCGCAAGGACTACAGGTGGATGAGTCGCTGCTCGATCAAGACGCTTTCGGCGTTCCCAGAGCCGAGGCTGGCAAATGGGCCTCATGTATTCGAATCAGCGACCCTATTGAGGTACATACACCCACACACATGACCATATGTCCCTCTCTTTCATTCCACCGATCTCCCACACCGGAAAGAATGTTTTAACTGATTATTTTTGATGATCCAAACAACAACAATTTTTTGAAAAGAAAACGACGTTAGTGCGAGAGGATTTGGGAGATAACGAGGCAGCGACGTCGCTGGCCATCGTCAGCTTTGCCTTCGCCGCCCACCATCCCGCCACCGAGCCCCTGCTGGTCGTCGGATCGGCGAAGGACGCGTTCGTCCAGCCCCGGACGTGTAAGAACGGCTTCCTGCGCGTCTATCGATTCGTCAATGATGGCAAAGCAATCGAACTCGTCCATAAGGTGACATCCCCCCTTTCTCTTTCTCTTTCTCTTTCTCTTTCTCTTTCTCTTTCTCCCTCCAAAAAAATAAGGTTGTGATTTTGTGCTGAGACGAGATGGGATTGGGATGGAAACCATAACAGACGGAAGTGGATGAGATGCCGAGTGCGTTGGTAGGCTTCCAAGGAAGACTAGCCGCGGGGGTCGGGAAAGCGTTACGGATCTACGACCTGGGCAAGAAGAAGCTGCTCCGGAAGGTGGAGAACAAGAGCTTCGGGAGCGCGATCATCTCGCTTTCGGTCCAAGGCTCGCGGATCCTGGTCGGCGATAGCCAGGACTCGGTCTCCTATGCCGTCTACAAGCCCGCGGAGAACAGGCTCATCGTCTTTGCCGACGACGTCGTGCCCAGATGGACCACCTGTGCTACCATGGTCGATTATGATACCGTGTTCGTCGTCTTATCGTCCCCTCCCCCCTTGCTCGTCTCTTCTTCGCTGATCCTCTTTTTCTTTCTTTTCTTCTGTTCTCTAGCGCTGGGGGAGATCGGTTCGGAAACCTCTGGGTCTCCAGGTTGCCCAAGAACGTCTCGGATGAAGTCGATGAAGATCCTACAGGTACGTTCATCCAACCTCCTTCCATCCACCTTTATCCTTTTTTCAATCCAGAAACAGAAAGTCATTGATCCCGATTCCGCCTATGATCCTAAAATTGTCTATGGTTTTGGAATGATTTTGAAATTTATAACGAATAGGAGCAGGCATCATGCACGAAAAGGGATACCTGATGGGCGCGCCCCACAAGCTCAAGAACCTCGTCCATTTCCATCTCAACGACATCCCCACCTCGATCCAGAAAACCTCGCTGGTCCCCGGCGGCAGAGAGGTGCTGTTGTACACCGGTGTCCAGGGCTCCATCGGCATCCTCGTCCCGTTCATCTCCAAAGAAGACGTCGATTTCTTTCAGACTTTGGAGATGCAGTGCGTCTCCTACTTTCTTTTTTTTTTTTTTGCTTGTTGGGTTGGGTTGTTGATGTGTTTCTTTCCCCGGGGGTCGCCCGGCGCATTTAGTATGCGCAATGAGATGCCTAGTTTGGTCGGGCGAGATCATCTGGCTTATCGAGGATACTACGTAAATCTCTCTCTCTCTTTTCGTTTCTCCATTTCTCTCTCTCTGTTATCTTTGAAAAAACACTAAAACTTCTTCTTTTTGTTTGTAGTTTCCGGTCAAGAACTGTGTGGATGGAGATCTGTGCGAATCGTTTGCATTGCTGCCGAGTGCTAAACAGCTCCAGGTCGCCTCGGAACTGGACCGCAGTGTCTCTGACGTGCTGAAAAAAATCGAGGCCGTTCGTGTCTCTAGCGGTTATTAAAACTTCCCCAAAAAAAACTAATAAAAAAAATGTGAAATGTATAATTAAACCTTCAATCAATCACACTCAAATTGCACTTGCCCTCTCCCTTGTCTTTTCTGTTTCTTGGACGCTATGGGGAGGTGAGTCTTGCTTCTTTGGGATGCTTTGGGGGAAAGGGAGGGGGGTGGTTGTGGTGTGCACTGGGGGGAGCAGAAGTGCTTGGTTTATTATATGCACCTTTGAACACTAGCATTATCAAGGTTAACAGGTTCCCAGACTTGGAATTACTGGCAGTGCAGTGGTCACTTGGCTGCCCCAGTGTCTTGTCTTATTTAGTTCTTTATGGGTGCTAGTTCTCACAAAAAGAAAGTAGCATATATTGGATGACTTCCCGTTGGCATTTACGACCCTCGCAGAATTGGATTTACACCATGAAGGTCTTAATTTTTGGCAAAAAAAAATCTTTCTTCAGAAGCCTTGTTGTAAAGGCCCTCATGTGAGCTAGTTGAGGTTGTGATTAGAGTGTTAATTTAGAACTGAGAGAGCTCTAAAAAAAACTCTAAACCCCGACGGGAAGTCCTCCATTGGTGGGATGTGGGCAGGGTCAGATGATCATGACCAGCCAGTCTGGGTTGTCCTTGAAATTGTAGGGCATACTGTAGTTTTGTCCAGTTCCCAGATTTTCTTGCAATCATATTGTTCCTCATGAGTTATTGCTGGGGAAGAATGTTGGATGGACAGAAAGACATTAAACAGTCTCTCCCTCTCTATGATTTGCTGCCCTGATTGTGCTGCACAGTTCCACAAAATCTTTCAATTGAGCCACACTTGAGGCTCCTCAACAATCTTGGAAATCAGCTGGATTTTTCAAGCGGTGCTCTGGCCCCAAATTCAGCGCAATCTTGCTGCAATCCCTCATCCATCCAATTTGAATATTCCTTGTTTTCATTGGAAGATTGCAGACTGTTTCCTCATGAGCTTTGTGAGGAGCCCAGAAGGATCCAGCTGATGGCTGTGCTCTCAAAGGGAAATGGGAACATAGTGGAGGACTTCCTGCCGTGATTTAGAGTGTTTTTTAGACCTCTCAGCTCTAAATTAACACTCTAATCAAAACTTCTGAATAAATATTTTTTTATGCCAAAAATTAAGACCTTCATGGTGTAAATCAAATTCTTCAAGGGTTGTAAATGCTGACAGGAAGTCCTCCAGTGTTTATACAAGACTGGGTCTCATTGACTTTCCGGCATCCTCAAGATAAAACAGCAGGGATTGCATTTCCTTTCTGTGAAAAGAACTCTGCCTCAAAGGCCTCCTTTGCCAGGCCTTCATCCTCATCAAAATTTCTCTTGATGGCTCCCCTCCTTCCTTGATAAATGGTCCAACAAAGAAGATTGATTGGCTGCACATCACTGTCAAGTATATATGCACTGTCTACTCTATAGAGAAAATTGGGACTTCTGCCTCACTACACTTGCCCAAAAGGCAACAGCAATGCTGAAACAGATATGGTATCTGCCATGTATCTGCCATGTATCACTATGTATCTGAGCCCCAATAAAAAAAAACTATCTGACCAATCTGCTTTTATTTGCAAGGAGATTCAAAAAATTTGGTTTTTGGCCATGCAGCTTTGCAGAATTCTCCATGATACACAAAGTGTATCGTATCTGTTACAGCGTTGGCAACAGTGTGGCAGATTTTTTTTGCACCAAAATTGTGTAGTGTTAGAGCAATTTTAGCATATTTTTGCTACACTACTCTGTACTAAGGACCACTAGAAGCGGCTAATAAGTGCATTAGCGCAGCGTAGCAGGCACATTTTGGGGGCCTGCACATGTATTGTTGTTTGAAAAAAGCTTGGACAAAGCAAGCTTTGCCAAGTTCAAAAGTTATGTGCTTCAGAGGCACAGCAGCAGTTTATGCCTGTGTTTTCTGCCATACACAGCTCCGGGTTGATCCACCTGGCTGTGATCTGTCAGGTGTAGCCATTGCCACACCTCTGCCCTCTCCCAAGGACACCAAACTTGACTCGCACTTGCACCACAATTACGATGGTTTATCGATATCACGCCCCTGCAACTAAGGTAGCCACCGTTAAAATGGCTATCCAGGGCCTATCTCTTGATGAAATCTGCCGGCTACTTGGCAGTTTCATTTCTTGTCAATTGTTTGGCCGATGGATTCAGCTTTACGAAGAGACTTGATGTGTCCTTAAGGATCCCAAAACGTATGAAGCCTGTGGCCGCCCAGCTAGTCTCTCCAATGAGGAATGTCAGTTCATGATTTGACTTGTCCAGTCTGAACCCGGCTTGTTTCTCAATGAAGTCCAGGAACGACTGTATGATTCCACTGGTGTCCTCCTCAGTGTTGAGGGGGTCCACCAAAATCTTGTAGAACGACTCTCAATAACCTTGAAAAAACCTGATACCAAGAGCTGTTGCAAATTGCTTTTTGCGAAGTATGTTTTTGTGGAGAACATGGAGTTTTATCCCGCTGATTTCCTTGTTTTTACCAGTGAGTTTGACTTTTTCTTTTTATCTCTCTATCAGCCAACTGAAGAATATGTTGTTGGCTTGTTTTTGCAGATGAGAGTTCCTTCTGCAATAACGATCTCCTCCGATCATACGCTAGTTCAAAGCGAGGGACTCCCGCCGCAAGATTTTTTAAGAACAACAATGCAGCCCAATTGAGTATGCTTCCAGCAATCACAATTGACGGACTTGTTGCCCTCACAAAAACCTTTGAAACCTACACTGGACCAAGGTTCTAGCACTTTCTGGAATACGACTTGGTAAGTCCCAGTGTGGTTTCTCTTCGTGGGTTTAGCTGAAAACATGATGCTCTCCAGTTCCTTCACATGAATTGATACCCCAATAAAAACTCTGTTCTGTTTTGCGGAAATGCCAGTTATCATCGTGGTGAGTGTGTGCAGCAGCTTTGCAATGCTGTGGTTCCCCCCATATTGCCCCGAGTTGAATCCAATCGAGCTTGGTTTTGTTGCTATCAAACAACAAATAAGATCATCCTGAATCCTGGATCGTACGGATGATCCAGAATGGGCGGTACATCAAGTCACAGCTGAGATCCTTCAAGATGATTTTTGCTACAAAATTTACAAAAACTGTGGGTACTGTGTCCCACAAAACTAAAGAAAGGCATGTAAATGTTACCTGTTCATCATTTAGAGTCAACCTCGGCTCATTAACTTGTTAGTCAAACAAAGATACTTGTCTGTATAACCTCTGATTGGGATCACAAAGACCCAATGATCAGTCTCAATTATCATTAGCATGCTTATGGTTATTTACAGTCTTAAACAAGAAACTGAACATTTGATGAGATGCAAAATCAGAATGACCACTTGGTCATTTTGGGTTAATATTGAGTATTTCATTGAAACTACAAAAAGTAACTTGTGGTTAAGATTGAGAACTTGTTTGTATGGCTTTTGAAAAATTCAAGCTTGATAATGACTGTACTGGCAAGTTGGGGAGTTAGAGAAAATAAGGGAAAATAAGAGAAAATAAGGGAAAATAAGGGAAAATAAGATAAAATAAGGGAAAAAGAATGAGATTGCGTTAATCAAGACTATCTAGTTGATTGGTATGGTAGGTCTGTGTTAGGCTACAAATTCACTGATGCAGTCAGCGTAATCTACAACAACAAAAATGATTTGGGTGAGTG